ACTGTAGACAAACTTACTTAAAGCATGGCTAATAAATCTGGCTCATCTCAGTGCTTCTAACTGGTCTTAAAGGAGATGTTCAGTTGTAAGCCTCAGTGAAAAGAGAGAAGATAATTTTTAAATCTATTACTTCCCTTTTCACTTCTCGTTGATAGTTTGCCTGTCTGTACCAAAAGATTTGTCTATAAACAAGAAAATATAGAACTGGAGAAACTATTTAAAATACGGACATTAGAYGGATTAAGGCTGTATAGTTAGAGAAAGACAAATAATACAATAAAATTCCTGTAGAAGTAATGTATCTGAAAAAAGAAAAAGTACATCTTATTCAAGAAATACTTTTCATGAAATGTTATTAACATGTGGTACTCATGGCTCTGTGCCATCAGTGAGATTAAATTGTATAGTGGCTTCATGATTTTATGATTTTAAGAGAGGATATTGCAGAGAACCCTGCAAGTGCTCTCAGGCACAAAACACTCCTTGCATTAAAGCAGAAAACCACTACTAATTCACAGGCCATCAAATTAAATCCCCCATTAAGCTGTCTTTCTTTCAGTTTTGGTCTGAATTTCATGTGAGTTTTACCTTATAAATCAGCTCTCTTTGAGCAATAATTTTACTCATGGCACCACAAGTGCAATATGGAGCAATTTGTCTCATGTTGCAAACCTACCTTTCGCTGTGTGCACAGTGAAGATGCCAAGGCAGAAGAGGAGCAGGATTGCTGCAGTGCAGAGCTTCATTGCTGTGACTTCTGTGTCGAGGCAGAGCAGAAATTGCTCTTTCACAGGGTTTATATATTGCCATTCAGTGGTCAGATCTTCTTTTCCTTTTTGGGGTATCATAGTTGGCCTGACTTTAAGTGGTAAAATTTGAGTGGCAGTACATTTTTTTGTGAGAGAGAACCACTTCCTCTCCCCCACCAGCCCTTTGCTAGCCCCCCTGAGGAGGCTTTTCCTGCTCAAACCCACTGTGGTTGCACTTACTTCTGTGCTGTGAGTTGGGTTTATTTCAAGCTGCAAAAAGTGAGAGCTCTTGTGCTGTAGTGGAAACCATTAAGAAATGTTCCTGTCCTTTCACACTTTTATTTGGAGACCTTTAGCTAAGCCACAGTGCAGAGACACAGAGTAACATTCAGAGTTACGTCTCTGACCAAAGGCCGCTGGAAAAGGTAATTGTGAGGTGAAGGATGGTGGAAACAGGAACAGCTTGGCTCTTTCCCCAAGTGGCTGTGGATGGCTGGCGCCATTAACATCGTGGAGGGGTATCATTGCTCTTTCTCATGAGTGGTGGAGGTTGTTTCATGTAAACATGGTGCTGGTAGCAGGTCTGTCAGCTGGTTRCAATTGTACCTCTATCAAAAGTGCCCTTTTCTGCAGACTGTGCMAACCCTATCACCCAGGTTTAGGTGTCCTGCCTGTCTTATGTGGTTTGAATTTGTGGACAGCATTGSTACAAGCAAATGGTTTTGAGCCCTGGGAATATTTGTCAGGCCAGTTGTGGACCTGCAGACCACAAACAAAGCAGCACCTGAGCTGGCCTCATCWTCCAGAGCCCCACAGCAGAAATCCWCTCTTGTGTCTTCTGCAGCTCTATAGAAAAACCCAACTGATCCTGCTGTGAGTAGGTGAAAATCAGGCTGCCTGGTGCCTGAGCTTGTGARCAGCTGTCAGTGCAAGGACTGCAGAAATCATGACAGTGTACTGGTTTTGGCTGAGATGGAGTAATTTTCTTCTTACCAGGTGGTACCATTGTGTGTTTTGGATTTAGCATGAGAATAATGTTGATAACACACGGATRCTTCAGTTGTTGCTAAGTAATGAYTATCCTGAACCAGGGACAACTGCAAAAAATAGTATTTTTCTTAATTTTTACCAAGGTCAAGAAATTTTTATTAAAATAATTGGGGTATGTACCCTGTTTCTTGATAGCAGTCCTGTTGAAGAAAGAGAAATATGCGGTGAGCAGAGTACTGTGTATAATATCAAGAGTTTACTTATCAGGGCAAAAAGTTTGTAGTACTGAATTCGCTCATCCTGTTGTCAGCTTTTTAAAAGAGAGGACAAGATTCTCTCATCCTGTTGTCAGCTTTTTAAAAGAGAGGACAAGATGTGTAACTAAATTCCTATGCACTCCTAGAAATGAGCATCTCTAGTGACTGTTCAGCCCCTTGAAGTTGAATTTGTGCCATCAGGTCACTTAATCACTTTTGAAGACTGAATCAGGGCATTCAGTGACTTTAGGAAGGGACTTAAAAAACTCAGCTTAAACACGGCTGTATCTCAGATGACTGGTTTTAGGAGGGACATGGTCACCCTCAGTGGATGAGTTTCTGCCTCTATTAACTATAGAAGCAAATTGTATAKGTATCTTAGGCAGGACACAGTAAGCATGTGAAGGAATATATGGGACCCTAATGTATTTTGTTGCTACATTGTYTCTTAACACTCAGGGTACTGGTTGAAGAATTACCAGCAAATGGCATCCAGATGTGATGTTTCGATAATTTTCCTTCCCTCTCTTCTTCCTTTGCCTTTTGTTACTTTTGCTCTGTAGATTTGGTGCTGATTTCATAGGTACCTGAAATAGTGGTTTGTTTAGTGTTTGAATTCATGTTGTAGTGGAGTAGAAGCAAACACATTCTCAGTACTCCCATCTCAGCTGAGAGATAATGATTTACAATCTAAATTGATGGCTTCAATCACATTTTTAATAACCACTGTTTTGTGCTGGTTTTGGCAGTACTCCTTCTTTAGAAATRTAACCCTATTAACAATACTTTCTCTTAATCATAACAGAGTTTTTGCTAGTAGACCATCTGTTTGCACTATTACACTGCCAGCTTTTYCCTGCCAGCTTTTCCCTGGTCATGCTATCTTCCCTTGGTGTATTATGTGCTCTTAAATAATAGTCAAAAATCARATCAATCAAAATCTTTCTTTAGTTGATCAAGTTGAAGCATTCCATCACATTATAAAATTACAGTGGGAATTATAAGCTTTGAGAGGCCCCAGAAGTCTTTGCTCTTTCTTTCATTCAGTATTGTCTTGTTTTGGTTTAGTTCAATGAGCTTGTTTTGGTTTAGTTATACACTCACACAGGATTTACCAGAGGAATAYTCTGATCCTCATCTTTGTAATCGTTGTCTTGGGAGTTCTGGTTCTTTGAGMAATCCATTGTGGGAAGTCAACTAAACCCCGTGCAATGCTATTGCTGCAGAGAAACAGAGGTGAGTACAGCTCGAGTTTGTGAAGGTTCCTAAATGTTGTACATGCTGAAAGATGAGAGAAATGCCTTTGGGATTTTGTGGAATAGTCTCAGTCCATGTGGGGATACCTTCTAGCAGCCTTCCAGTACCTGAGGGGGGCTCACAGAAAGCTGACAAGGAACTTTTTACAAGGACATGTAGTCATGGGACAAGGGGCAGTGCTTCAAACTGAATGAGGGCAGTTTTAGATTAGATATTAGAAATAAATTCTTTACTCAGAGTATGCTGAGGCACTGGAACAGGTTGTCTGGARAAGCTGTGGATGCCCCATCCSTGGAAATGTTCAAGGCCAGGCTGGATGGGCCTTKGAGCAACCTGGTCTAGTGGAAGATGTCCCTGTCCCATGGCAGGGGAGGTTGGGACTAGCTAATYTGTAAGGTCYCTTCCAACACAGGCTGTTCTATGAYTTTGTGGTATTATATGCTTATCCTTTTTCTTCCTTGTTTTGTTGGATTTTTTTWATGTTGTTTCTTTTTCCACTTCCTCAGCTGTCATGTGAACCAGAGAACGCAGATTTTGTTTAGTGCTTCTTTTTGTGTTTGCCATATCTTTAGGATCAAGGAAGGGAACCAAGCCTTTTTGTGTTAGTCTTCAGGAGATGAATAAAGACTGTTTTGTGAGAAATAAATGTGCTTTAGATAAASCGTGGGTGGTCAGTGCCTGTAGCGCTGGAAATGGATTGGAACCAATATGTTGCTTCTGGGTAAACCCAAGATTTTCTCAGAAAATTGAAGCAGCTCAGATGCTTCTGTTTTCTCAGTGGGTAACAGTTTTCTCCATGGTACCTCATGTTTTGGAGAGAGCCCCTTGGCCAATCAATATGTGTTTAAATTCCTTTGCTCCATGAAGTTCATCACATATGTTAAAGAGTGAAGATTGTTAGGGAAAGGGGGAGYTCAGGTGGAAGAACACACACCAGCAATATTTGCATGCCTCTCTCATAATAGTGTGAGCTGTGATTTACAAGTGCACAGAACATTTCTTGTTACTGCCATTAAATACTTCWGCCATCACATCTGTTTTAAAGAACATTTGAAGGTTGGGCTGTGGGACAGAGAATCACAATAAAGCAACATCTTCCAGGGATCAGAGCAATAAACAGAACATGCCCAGATTCAAATTTTGGTCCTTCATCTGCTAACTTCTCTTGCCTTCACCCAATAATTGTTCTAGCTCCTCAGCATGTATTTTCATGTGCCAAAGCAAGCCATGCATCCCTTCCACACACTTGTGGCTGTCTAGTTCTCATGTTCCAACAGACCTGCTGCATAAAATGTCACTGTTCTGCTGGATTTTCCTCACAGTGGAAGGGCCATCTTGAGTCTTTCTGCTGTTGAGATTTTTCTAGGTTTTGGAAAATTCATAGGGATTCCTGCATTTTGTTTAGCATCAATTAAAATTGGCCAGTGGATTAAAAGAAAAGAAAAAGAGCAAAAAAAAAAAAAAAAAAGCATAAAAATTAGAGGACAAATAAATAATGCAAAGTTAGTTTTTTAAAAATGTTACCTTCCTGAACTTTCCAAAGGGAATCTTTGGATTTTTCTTTTGTTGGGTTTTTTTTCCACTAAATGACTGATTTCTAATAAATGTATTTTATTTAAAACAGTAATTATCCTTGTAAGCATTTTTAATAACCAAACCTTCACAAGGTCGTACCACAGAGTTTAACAGATATGACAAATTTTAACATATCATTATGATTTTAATCCCTATGGCTTCAAGGAAAAAAAAAATGAAGCAAAAAAACCCCACCCAAAACAAAACTAAAGCAACCAAACAAGAAAAAAAACCCAAAACATATACACCAAACAGAAAAAAAAAATGACAAACCACTAAACACCATAGAGAAGAAGATAGGGAGAGATTATTCCAGAATTATTGCAAGAGAAATCCATGGATTTTTTTTTTCCAAAGAGGGTATTTTTTCCTTCCTTCAAAGAGAATTACAGTAGCCTCTGGAATAGTTACTTTTCTACTTCATCTCTCAGATGAAGAACTCACACTTTCTAACCATGCCACTGGTGAGATACATTATCTTGCTTCACACTGGTTACTATAATCTGACAATTTTGGGCCACATCCTGTTTCACAAAGTATTTTAGAATTTATTAAAACTGATCACAGGACTTGATCTCKACCTGTGCAATGAAATGGAACTTGGTGCTTTTTGCAGTTGTRCCCTTAATAGATACAGACTTGGAAGCAGTATTTTTTTGTTGTGTTTTATATTTTGTTAGAGATCTTCTCAGTGAGCCCATGATAGCAGGAGAGTTACTGTGCAAATAAAGACTTAAATGAGAGGGTCATAGAAAAAAGATCTTACAGRGTGCTGCAGCAAATACTCATCCTTGAAAATGTTTCACTCTGAACTTTCTRAAAGAGAGTCCTTGAGCTTTATTTGTTCTATGTTTTTACCCCATTATAATGAGAATGAGTTTGAAACCATGTSTTAGACAATGCATCAGTCTGTGTTATTCACCTGAGTTCACTGCAATGAGTGATGCAATGTGGGAGGCAAGAGGGGATGGGA